GGCCTTGGACCCTCTCCTTCCTCTCCACCCCGGGTGCCTCCCGGTGCCTGGCCCATCTCCTCGCTGACGCCTTCCCCCCCTCCCCTCTCCCTGCCTTCACTCTGTTCTGGCCACACCAGCCTCCCCACTGTTCCTCAGGGGGCCCAGCCGGCTCCCACCCCATTGCCTCTGTGTAGGCTCTAACCCTCTGCTGGGAACCCTTCCCCCACATCCATGTGGCTCCACCTCACCTCCATCATGTCACAGCTTAGATGTCCCTCCTCAGAGAGGCCCCTACGCTTGGGAGCCCTCACCGGGCACCTGCCACCTCCTGCCTTGTTATATACCCATCTCCTTGTTGCCCTTGCAAGGGTGAGGTTTCCGGCAGCCTCCGTCTCAGCTCTGTCCCCAGCCCCCGGCACTGATCATGGTAGATGCCCCATCCTCCCCACAGCTCCATAACAGTTCCTGGCTGCGGGACTTACCGCCTCCGGCCACAGCCTCCCGCCCCCAGGGGCCTGGGGATGCCGCAAGGGGCAGTGGCGAGTCTGAAGACAGCAGGGACCGCGTCCCCCTAGACTCGGGTGGCTGCGGCCTACAGGTAGGTGGGCTCTGCGGGGTGCCCGGGCGGAGGGCCCAGGAATCTGGGAAGGGGCCAGGCGCTGCGTGGGATGGTGAGTCCAGGCCAGAGTCTTCCACGTTCTCTGGCGATGAGGAGGAGAAAGGCGAGGGGCTGGAGGTGAAGCCGAGGCTGCTGGAACCTGGGGGGAGACGGGGCGACGAGCTCCAGACCCTGCCCACGCGGGGGTCCGGGCCATTCGAAGCCAGTGCTCACAGCCCACCCCCAAGCCATGCCCCCTGGTTCCTTCCCTCTCCACTGACGCCTCACCCACCCACCCACTGCCACCCCACTACCAAGCGGCTCCACCTTCTCTCTGCCTCTTCCTACGCATGACGCATGCTGTGGCCCTGCCCACCCGCACACTGACCTGGCCCCACTGATCTTCCCTTGGCCCACAAAGGCCCCAGCGTCCGCCCTCCTGCCCACTGAGCCACCTACGCCTGCAATGGCTCCATCCGTCCACCCGCCGGCCACACCCACGCTCCCGGAAGCCCTTACCCCCATCACCTGTAAAGTCTTCGTGGTCAAAGGCTGACTCTAGGGGTGGCCCAAAGAGGGTTTTGGAGGCCAGCTCATCGGATTGCAGCTTCTCTGTGCAGCTGGGGACCAGACGGACAAGAGGGGCTGGTCTGTTGTCTCCGTGCCTCCTCGACCTCAGGGCCTTTGCACATGCTGCGGAGTTTGGCCTCCGTCCTCCCGGTTCTCCCTGTGGCCACTCCTGCTTCTCCTCTGGGCTCAGCGCAAAGTCGTGCTCCCCACAAGCCCAGAGGCCCCCCACTACCAGCCCGGCTGAAGTCGCCACTTCTCTCTTCCATCACATCACCCGCTTCGGTTTCCTCAGAACACGTGGAAGTACTGAATACGCTCGAACTTATTTGTTATTCATAAAACCTGAGCCGCTAGGATGTAACTCTGAGAAGGAGGACCTATCTTGCTCCTATAGCCTCAGAACCCAGAATGGCATGAGTACACAGTAGGCACTCAATAAATGTTTACCAAATGAATCACTGCTAGAAAGCGGTCTCTCAAAATACAGCACAGCCTCAACTCCCTGCCTGGATGAGAGGAGGGGACGCAGAGACACAGGGAGGGGGCCGGGGAGGTGGGGAGACACGAGGGGGATGGCCCACCTGCCCACTGTGTGGACGCGACGTCCCACCCCGTGGAACTCACCTGCCGGCCCTCGGGGCGGACCGAGGCCTCTGTGGCTTCCCAGCAGCATCCCCTACAAGAGAAGGCCCCCCTCTGAGCCATCCTGTCACCCCGCCTGCTCCCGACTCCACAGACCAGGAGGCCACGGCTCGGGGCCCCCTAGCCGCTGGCCGGAGAGGCCAGATCAGGCAGAGAGGGCTTTGGACCTGAGCTGCGCTGTCTCCAGGTTTTGGCTTCTTTTTCCCAGAAACCCCTCTTGGGTCTCAGTTAATTCTCATCATGACCTCATTTCTCAGAAGAGACTGTGTGGCAGAGTGGGTGAGCGGCCTGCACAAGTCACACGCAGAGCTGGGATTCAAACCCACCCAACACATTAGGCCTAGTCCTCCCTCCATGTTCTCCTCCCGCCCCCCCTCCCCCAAACAAAGACCGCTGAATACCGGCCGGTGTGGCTCAGAGGTCACTGGTGTGTTTCCCGGTCAGGGCACATGCCCGGCTTACGGGCTCCATCCCCAGTGGGGGGCGTGCAGGAGGCAGCCAATCAATGATGCTCTGTCATCGTTGATGTTTCTCTCTCTCTCCCCCTCCCTCTAAAAAATCAATTAAAAACATATTTAAAAAAGAGACTCCCGAACAGGTACTCACGCGAGGAGTGGCGTTTCATGGTGCCCTGTGGACAAAGGGGTGGGGTCAGGCAGGGGGCCTCTAGCCAGCCCCCGGGGCCCCACCAGAACACCTGTCCCAGCCTCACCCCCGGGCCTGGAGGGAGGATGAGGCTGCCCG